ATCTTCCCATGTGGCACGCCGAGGTCCCCAGGTATCTCAAGCCTGGCAGACAATAATGCTTTAATACACTACATTTTCCAAAATTATCCCATTAGAATAACTTATAATAACTTATAGTTATAACTTATAATGAAAGAGTGGTTAGAAGAGCCAAGACTATCTCCTTAGGTTTGCATTTTGAGGGTGACAGACACATGGTGCCTTTCAGGTCATGACCCATCTCGAATCTCTGATTGCTTCCAGGTGTTCCTCAGCACCACCGGAGGGGCATGGGTGATGAGCAGAATCTCGGACTCAGGGAACCCGATGGACATGGTGTTCACAACACGATTTCACAACATGTTCAGAAATGCTCTCCCAACTCCAATTGTGAGTTGGTTGCTGGCAAGAAAGATGAACAGCTGGTTCGATCATGTGAATTATGGCTTAGCACCAGACGACAGGTAAGATATAAGACAGATATAATCTATCTGTCCAGGGCTATCAGGGAGATGGGCTCTGAGTGGCATATGCAAGCCAGGCAAGGTCACAGCAACGCGACAACAAACCAAAACTGCATTTGATTCCCCTTGATAATAGTAGCTCCTAAGTGATTGGTGGGTGAATGGTGGACTGTGAACAGCTCTTTGAGGTAGGAGTTATCATTATCTCCTCATTACTGTGGGAAATGGAGGCTTAGCAAAATACAGTCACTTGCACTGATTGAGCAGTGAGTGGGCACTGGGGCCTCAGCAAGCTACATGGGCCTCCACAGCAGCAAACGGACTTTGTTCACAAAACAGCATACTTGCTTTGCTTCATTATGCTGGAAAAAATGGAATCCTTTGGCTGCCCTTCCTTGCCTCTCTCATGGCAGAGATGACCGTGATGTCAGTCTGTCTCTTCATTTACAACCTACAACTTATCCCCCAGCAAGAACCAAAAGTCTTACTTCTGTGTTCAGTAGGTTTACAGGGTGGAAAGCCACTACCAGCTGACACTGCAGCTGGAGATCCTGTCTGGTCTCCCTCCAGACCTCAGTCTGGACCAACATGAATGGGTGGTCCCAGTCACCACTGGGGGCCTGCAGCCAGGGCCTGGGCTTTCAACATGCCCTTCTCTCTATTGTCCCCACCACCACCACCACCCATTTCTTATCTCCACTCCCTGCCTCCAGGCATCTCAGGGGCTGGGACTCCTTCCACCACAAACTCTGTCCATAGTACATACATAGAGCTATGGTATCTCCTCGCTTCAATGCAGGTTGTCCTTTGCCATATGTTCTTCATTCTACCCAATGACTTAAGGATGGCAAGTGTAAGTGTCCCACGTGTTGTTGAATAGAAGAAAGCCTATAGGTCCTAAATGGCTTGCCCAAGCTTTGTTAGAAGCAGTTGGACAAGGAACCACCCTTATTACCATCATTTGCCTCCATTTCACCACACCATCTCTTCCTGTGCATTCACCATAAGCCAAAACAGCTTATGCAAGAGCAACTCACAAACTGCTCATCTTACGATCTCAGAGATACAGCCATAGAAGATGGCTCTCGCCTGGTTCCTTTGAACACATGGGTTTTCCTTACACAACTGCTTTCTGGAAGAGAAGGGACTGGCTAGAGCTTCCAGCAGTGTTCCCAGGATACAGAGGCTCCCCTCCCAGCCCTGCAGCACTGGGAGATCTCTAGATGACAGGTGATTGCTGAACACTGAAGACAGTGAGGGTAAAGGGGCTGGGAACGCACTGGCTCCTCACAGGCTCCCAAACTCTAATCAGTTGTCAGCCTTGGACATCCCTGAATCCCCTCCCACCGAGGGAGCTTCCCCCAAGACTGGCACCTCTTGTCCAGCCCGGGAGAGGCCCCAACTGGAGAGTTAGGGGAGGAGGAGGGAGGCTAAGCTGTTTGGTCAGCACTCTCCCCTGCCTGTGGTTTGGTGCAGGGTGCAGTTAAGAGAGCCCGTGATCAACGACGACCTCCCGGGCTGCATCATCACTGGCAAGGTGCAGATCAAGCCCAGCATAAAAGAGGTGAAGGAAAACTCCGTGCTCTTCAGCAACACCCCAAAGGAGGAGCCCGTTGACATCATCGTCTTTGCCACTGGGTACACCTTTGCTTTCCCCTTCCTCGATGAATCTGTTGTGAAAGTTGAAGGTGGCCAGGCATCTCTGTACAAGTTTGTCTTCCCTGCGCACCTGCAAAAGCCAACCCTGGCTGTGATTGGCCTCATCAAGCCCTTCGGCTCCATGATACCCACAGGAGAGGTACAAGCTCGATGGGTGGTCCAAGTCCTGAAAGGTGAGTGTGGGAAGCAGCAGGGCAGGTGACTTTGGACACTGGAGGTTTTGAAACCATTACCAGCTGACATTTAAAATGACAGCATCTTTAAAAGCAGGATCCATTCTATAGTTCCCTGGATTACCTGTCAGGGTGATTTGGACCATTTACCAGCACAAATGATATACTAGGTATCAAAAATATAAACTCCATCTTCCTGTTATTTTGACTGCATTGACAGGTTCAATTAAAATGTAAAAGTTTGGCCAACAGAGTGACAAGTCTGTACCCACTGTGATGTTCTGCTGCATTAAGTAGTGAGATGAAGGGGTGCCTGTGCTTTCTGAGGGTGACAGAATTGCCAGGAGCACAGCATCAGCTCAGGCAGAGGACGTTTTCTCCAGACCTGATGAGTTGCAGGGCACTGGACATGAAGGACGAGGGAGTAAAGCTCCCCTGTCCACCAGTGGGCACCAAAGTCAAACTGCATGGTCCTGTCTATCCACAGGTCTGCATACGTTGCCGCCACCTAGCGTCAGGATAGAGGAAGTGGAGAAAAGGAAACAGAAGAAGCCCAGTGGGTGAGTGCACCGCATAGGCGCGTTTTCTGAATCACAGGGAAACTAGAGCAGAGAGGTGCAGTTACACTGGGGAAAAGAGGGGAGCTTCTGGAGTATCGGAGACTCGCGGGGTGGGGTCAGTAGAAGAGCTGGCCAAGGAAAGAGGAGCCTCAGCCCCGGGGTGCAAGCCAGCAGGCCCTTGCAGAATAAGCTGCTGGCTCAGAACCAGCACTGCGAAGACTCCACCCACAGTGTCCTGGCTCTTCCCACCAGGCAAATGCAGTGATAGCTGAGTCTAAAGAGGCAGAAGGAGGCGGCAGCTGTGTTCTAAGATTATTATCCTGTTGTCTTTTTGTCTCCCCCCACCACCATCTTCCTTTTACAAAGGTTCGGTTTGCACTTCTGCAAGCCTTTACATTCGGATTACATTGAATACGTGGACGAGCTCCTGACCTATATCAATGCAAAGCCCAACCTCTTCTCTCTGCTCCTGACCGACCCACGCCTGGCCTTGGCCATCTTCTTTGGTCCCTGCTCACCATACCAGTTCCGCCTGACAGGCCCAGGAAAATGGCAAGGAGCCAGAAACACCATCCTGACACAGTGGGACCGAACCCTCAAGGCCACCAAAACTCGAACTGCACGAGAATCCCCGTCTTCCTTTGAAAGTCTGTTTAAACTCATTAGTTTGCTGGCTTTCCTTGTTGTTATTTTCCTGATTTTTCTATAAGGAAAAGATCTTCCAAAAGGCTCTTCCGATGCATAGAGTAGATTACAGCTTTTGACTCCTCCCTTACAGTGACACTGCCTTCACAGTTAGAAGCCACAGTTACATGCTGAAGGCCACCACCCTCCTCCCCAACTGGCTCCAGGGGAGGCTTTGATACTCCCGAGCCTCTCCCACCTGTTATGTCTAAAGCTAGAGGGTGATGCCCAAGACTTCTGTGCGCCTGAAGGCTCTGGGAAGTCCTGAAACATTTTAGGAAGAGAGCTATCCTGGGCAGCACACCTAGAGCCAGAGCTGTCCAGCAAAATCTGTTCCCAAAGACCTCACCCAAGAGCCCAGGCCCACCTCACAAAAGACTGCTTTGCACCCAAAGGATGCGTTTATGTGGCTGAATAAAGACAAAGAAAGAACCCTAGAAACTGGTCTTGAGTGGTCTTTTGTTCTTTTTTATGCAAAGGGCACTGCCTTTGCAACCAAATCCCACTGGAATCCATTAGAAAAAGAACTCAGCCAAGCAGCCTAGGGATGAGAGCTAGCAGGGACAGAAAAAGAGGAGCAAAAGCAAAGAGCCAGTCAGTGCTTTGCTAACCCAGCCTGCCCACCCCAGGGCTACAGCTGACGAGCATGTGATGCTGGTCAGAGAAGGCTTTGCCTTCCCTTGGCCTCATTAATGGGCTTGGATGACAAACCTCACCTCAGGATGACCAAAAGGTGGGAGACAGGTGGGCTGAAGGGGTAGGGCAGGATGGAGCAGGACACATTAGCAACCTTATAGCTCCCTATAGGGAGGGGCTATTCCTGGGACAGGTTACCTTGGAAGCAGGTTGTGGCGGGGGCAGGCTCTTGATAAGGGTGGAGGAAGGGGTCTCAAGGGATTAACATTTTAATCCCTCAGGGGACAGTCTCCAACTTCCCAGACTCACTCAAAATTGGCCTCCTCGATCCGACCTGACTCCATTTACCTATCTCCACTGACTGCCTGTCTGATTCTGGCTTCACTTCCAGCGCAGGAGCACCAAACAAGACCCGGTAAGCTCCCCACACCAGTTCCAAGTGCTGTCTCACTTCTGCTGAGCCACCCCATGCCAGCTACCTCCAGAAGGGGACACCAGAAGCCTGCTCTGTTCTTCATTATGAAAACTCCTCTGCCCGCCTTTGAATCTATGCCAGACACTAGGGGCAGTGGCCGAACATCTTGCTTAGCCAGGTCTGTCTTCATTTATTTCAACAGCACTAAAAAAAAAGCATGCTATACAGGGGTAATTGTAATGTGCACATCCTAAGCCATAGTTAAAATTAATAAGTACCGTCCATTCCCCCCTTTAGTCCTCACGATAATAATTATGGGGTTGGGGAGGCAAGTATCTCACAAAACTTAATAAGTAAGAAAATTCAGACAAAAAGCTGTCAGCTGATTTGTCCAGGTAAACAGGTACCAGGGGGACGACAGCCTCCAGGACTCACATCCAGGGCTCTCTGTCACTGAAGACAAATTACTTCAGAATACTTAGCAGTGACCTCAGAAGAGTCCTCAGGAGCACTGTGTTTCTCTCATTTCCTGCTCAGTGGGCGTGTGTGAACCCCCGTCTCTCAGTGCACTCTTTCCTGCCGTATCCCAGATGTCACGGCTCCCTGTCTGTGCACACCACATACATCCTTCCCCTGTTTCCCCTCCCTTTTCTGGACTATGACTATACTAGGCCTACTTTAGGGTCAAAGTATAAAGCAGACCTGAGAGAATCGAATTCCCAGCCTAGAAACCACCCCATTTTGTCATACTGGAGAGCAGCCTCAGGCCTGAGGGTGTAGTGCAGTGGTAGAGCACTTGCCCCACAGGCACAAGGCCTGGTTCACTCCACAGTGCTGCAAAAACATGGCATTCGGATTTTAAATTTAAATAAATAATCCCAGAAAGAAAAAACACAACTAAATTACTTATGGCCCAGAAATCTATCAAAAGAGAAATGTAGAGAACACCTTGGCTTCGCAGACTTTCTTGCACACACTTTAAATCAGAAGGCATTTTATCTCCAAGGATAATTTTATATTTTCTGAAGCTCTTTTTAACGTCTACAAATAGTACCCCCGCTGACCAGCCTTTGGCACTGAACCTACCTCCTTGCACACCAGTGCTCTGGACCTCTTGGTATGCCCCCTGGGGAGGGGCTAGAGCACCAGGCCCAGAGCTCAGGATCACTCGCTCTGCCACTGCTACCTGTGTGACCTGGACCAAGCCACGGCCTTTCCCAAGCCAGTGTTCCCTTCACAGCATGGCAGCCCCAGTACCTCCTGCCTCACAGAGCTTCATGTTGACTTAACCAGTGGCTTCCATGATTCCATGGGTCTGCCCTTATCCCTGGAGCAGCCCCATGCTCAGCATAAGAGGCCAGCTTCCAAAATCCCAGACCACAATCCTCAGAAGACAGAAAAAGAACTTCTAGAGCTTTTCCAGGTATCCAAAGGTGTGTTCATCCCTTCCTCCTGGTCACGTGCCACCTCGCTAGTGACTGCATTTCCCAGCCTCCTTTGCACTAATAGGATCACATGGCCCCAGTCTTGCAAAGGGAATGTGAATAGAAATAAGATACATAACATAGCCCTTGCTTTCTCTTCTGTGTGAGCTACATCATGGTCATGGCAGCAATCCAGTGTTAATCATGCAGAAAAGGACAAAGTCCTGAAAAATGACAGAGCAACCCAAGTAGAAGGAACAAGGTTCCTGAACAGCCCAGGTCGCAAAGTAGCTTTATGGCCCTAGACTAGTCAAGCTGTTGCACGACAGAAGGAACTTTTATCTTATTTGAGCCATTGTATTATTTATTTTGTTACATCAGCTCAGCTTTTACACACACACACACACACACACACACACACACACACACTGAAGTCTCCAGTGAATCTCTCCTTGCATCTTACATCCTCAGTAGCTTCGGTGTCTCCTCCTAAGGCAATCATTTGCAAGGGAGCTGGGACTCACCTGAGACCCAAACACCTAGGCCTGGAGCTGAGGATGGGGTCAGCTGTCTCAGAGAGATCACCCTCAGTTCAGCTAATGTCAAATCCACTTACTCTCCCAACTCCATTGTCCCCTTTCATTCATTCATATTTGCATGTCAGAACTCCAGCTCTGGTCAAAATCCACCTTTCCAGCTTCTGAGCATCTGCCCTTAGGTAGAAGAAAAGCACTCAGCACCCTAACTGGTCACTCCTGGACTCCAGTCTACCCTGCTGCCCCAAATCCTGCCAGGTTCCCCTAATCCCTTCACTCCCAGGTCTCTCTCCTCTCCCCACACACCTATACCACTCCCTCCAACCCCACTCTCAGTTAGCAGAGAAGATCAAGAGATTTCCACCTCCACATCTCTGGGTCCACCTGCTGCTGTGCCCATACACTCCTGATAGTAAGTTCAGGCCACCTGTGTCCCCAAGCCCCATCCCTGCACTTGGGCTATGGATCCCATCCTTCCACACTTCCCAAGAACTTTGCTCAGATAATTGTCCCCTCAAGCAGACTGCCCCCTTTCTACTGGATCATTCTCTAACTCTGAGAACAGATCCCTTCACTCAACGTCTTATATGTCAGAGGGCTGAGCTCTACTTTACAACTTAGATCATTCTGGAGAATGAATTACAGGGGAACAAGCAGAAATAAGGACTTTAGTGAAAAGGCTATTGGAGAATAGTTCCAGGACTATCAAACTGGAACATACTGACCACTCTTAGACTGGACTCTCTGGAAGCTGGAGAACTGTGGCAGAATAAGGAAGACTAGAGAGACCACACAGCCAAATGCAATCTATAAACTTTACTCCATTCTCAGGCTCAACATAAAGAATCAATTAAGGTAAAACACTACATGTCCCCTTTCTCCTGGATCATTCTCTAACTCTGAAGGATAAAAATCATAGAATCATCTCAATAGACGGAGGACATGCTTTTAAAAAATTTAACACCTTTTTCTGACTAAAAGAAAACAAACTCCCAAAAACTAAGTGTAGAAGGAATTTAATTCAACTTACCAAAGGCCATATTGAGACAGCCCATGGGAGAGTACGCAATGGTGCAGAGCTGAAAGCTATCCCTCTAACCTAGGGAACAGGACAAGGTGCCCACTCTTGCCACTTCTATTCAGCGCAGCAGTGGGAAGAAAGATGCCAGAAAAAAATCAAAAGGGGAAAATAAAAGGAGCTAGAGAGTAAAGAGAGCCTAAGTTTGTGAGTGGAAAACACAAGGTGCCAATGTGGTCACTGACTGCCATAAAGTTGAGTAAATGCACCAAGATGATAAGGGCAGGCAGAACATAGGTGTGACACACGGAGGGAATGCCGGCAGAGGAAAGAGTTCACAGAGAAGTCCAAGGCCAAAGGAAGGCAACAGAGGCCAAGCTGGGCGGAGCCTCAGCCAAAACCTGGAGGTGAACAGGTGAACTGCAAGCACCTTGTTGCAGAGGGCGCTGTCAGTCTGAGTCTAGGCACCACGTTGGGTGTCACAGAAGAGTGGGAGCTGAGCATTCAGACCTCAGTTCTTGTGTCCCATGAAAATCAAGCAAGCAAATTTTATTGTAGGTTAATAAGCACACTCTCCAGACAGAGTACAGGTCTCCAAGCAGAGAACGACCAGGAAACTTTTCTGCTTCCAAACTGATAACTGTCTGGTGTTCACCAGGAGAACCAGAGTCCACCTTCTGCAGCCTTTGCCTGTCAAATGTGTAAAAAAAAAAAAAAAAAAAAGGCATTTCAGAGAAACTCTGCGCCTTGCTGTGCTATTGGTTCATGTTTCACTTCTCATTATTAAACTACTACCTAACAGTGAGACACTCTTCCTGGATTAGAGAGATAGAAAAGAAAAACAATCTAGAATTCTCATGGAACCACAAAACACCGCAAATAGCCAAGGCAATCTTGAGAAAGAAGGAAACTGTAGATATCACACTTCCTGGTTTAAAATGATACTATGACACTCTAGTAATTAAAACAATGTGGTGGTGGCATAAAGGCAGACATAGAGACCAACAGAACAGGATGCAGTTCCCAAAACAAACCCAAAAACACATGGTCGTCTGATAAGATTGCCAAGCATATACAACAGGAAGGAGCCTCTTTAATAAATACGGCCAAGAAACTGGAAATCCTCATGCAAAAGAATGCCTTTATCTTACACCATATAGAAACATCGACTAAAACAGGTTAAATAATTAAATGTAAACATGGGTTAGAAGACTTACTATTGCTAAAATATCCACACTTCCCAAAGCAATCTACATGCAAACAGCCAACTTCTCATTATATCCTTCTTGACATTGGTCTTGGCAATGAAATTTGGGCTATGACACTGTATTAGCCAACTTTGGCATCGCTGTAACCAAAATACCTGAGAAGAATGAGTTAGAGGAGGATACGTTTATCTGAGGCTCATGGTTTCAGAGGTCTCAGTCCATAGATGGCTGACTCCATTGCTCTGGGCCCAAAGCAAAACAGCAAACATGGGGAAAGGACCCAGTAGAGGAGCTGCTCAGCTCATGGTGGGGTCAGGAAGCACAGGTGGGAAGGGTCGCAGGGAAGATGCACCTCCAGAAGCCAAGCTGGGCATAGCCTCAGGACAGCCCCCAGTGACCACCTCCTCAGCCATGCCCCACCTGTCTACAGGTACCACCACCTGTCTACAGGTACCACCAGTCAGCCCATTCGAACTAGGACGGGTTGATCAGGTGACAGCACTCACAGACCAGTCATTTCACCTCTGAGCATTCCTGCATGAGCAGGAGCTTTTAGGAAACACCTCACTTCCAAACCATAACAGGTACCAAAAGAACAGGCAGCAAAAGCAAAGCCAGACAAGTGGAACTCCACCACAGTACACGTCCTGCATACTGCAAAGGAAAGGCATCCTGTGGGAGGGAGAAAGACCGCGAACCACATATCTGAGAAGAGGTCAGAAGTCAAAACCAAATAATTGATTCTAAAATTGGCAAAGGACTTAACATTCTCCAAATAAAACACACAAATGACCAAGAGGTAAAGGTGTTCAACACCACTAATTGTTAGGTAATGCAATTAAAACCACAAGGATTTATCACCCCACACCTGACAGGATAGCTATTATCATAAACAAAGCTGCACACACCAGGAAGGACGAGGAGACGGCCATGCTCTTGGTAGGAATACAAAATGGTGAGTTCTTATGGAAAACAGTGTGAAAAGTCCTCAAAAAATCAAAAGTATGATGGTATATGATGCACCAATCTCATTTTGGGGTGTACATGCAGGAAAACTGAAACCAGGGTCTCACACCTCCACTCTCCCCTTCCTTGTAGCATTGTTCACAATAGCTAAATATGGTGAACCAATGCCATCAACAGATGAATGGTTAAAGAAAATGTGAAATATACACACCACAGAACATTATTAAGCCTGAAAAAAGGAAATTCTGCCTTAAGTAGGACATGGATGAGCTGGGAGGAGATTATGCTATGCAAAATCGGCTAGTCACACACAGACAGACACAGCATGATTCTACTCACATAAACTATCTAACATAGTTGAATTCATAGAAGCAGAGAGAAGGGCAGTTGGCAGGGGCTGAGAGTGGCAGGGAATGGAGAGTGGTCAGACTCTTTCAAAATGAAAGATGAAAAAGCTCAGGAGATCAGCTATAGAACACACAGGTAACTAATAATACAGTATTGTGTGCTTCAACAATTAAGATGGAAGATCTCCTGTTAGGTATTCTTAACCCCCCCCCCCGCCCCCAACACACACACAGAGGAAACTTTTGAAGGTGATGATTACGTTCATTACCTTTTTTGTTCATTACCTTTTTGGTTTCATGTTTGTATTCAGTCCTAATAGACTCATCAAATTGTGTACTTTAAATGTGCACAGTTTTTTCTAAAAAAAAAAAGATGAGGGTGCTGGTAAATGTTTAAGACTGGCTCAGAGTGCAGGCACCCAACCAGACCATTTGCCAATTTTCATTGTGTAAGTTTTCTCACGGTGACCAAAGTCTCTTGATATTCTCAAACTCAGAGTTGGAAGAGGTGTATACATCCTCTCACTACAAGCCAACTCCAGCACACCACTAGGACGCTTTGGACATTCTGCATTTTGTGGAGGAATTTTAAGGTAGACTATATGTTGGACTATATATTAAATTTATATAGACTTTCTTACATGGAGTGTGGAACTGACAATATGATTGGCAGGGCATGTGCCAATTGCTTGTGAGACACAGGCTGAAGCATCTGGATGACACCGATGTTTCCAGATTATTTTCAGATGGTTTGGCAAGAGCCATCGGGGTCGGGGGAGAGCGGTGGGGGGCAGAGCATGGGGGTGGGGGGGAAGCATGTGTGGGTGGTAACCTCTTTTATACATTGTTGTTCCTTAATGAAACAGGTTCTTCAACAGTTTCAACTCTTTATATTTTGCAAAAGAAAAAAATTAATTTGTTACCAACAGATTAACCTCTGGATCTGCAGCTTCTGTTGAGCCTAAAGCCTTGTGAGATTGGCAACATTTATCTAAACTAAATCCACAGGTGCTGCTTCCAGTCAGACTTTATCTGACCCACTTCTTGCCTTCCTGCCTTCTTTGCAATTTGTGACTCCTGGTTCAGAAACTTCTAGAGGACTGTGTGGGAAAATGTCCCCAGACACAAGACCTAAGACGGTCTGCAATGCCAGGTTCCCAGCACTGGGTGGAGAGAACAGGAATGCGGGGTACCTCCACTGTGGTCCTCCAGTTCCTCTTGACTGAGTGGATGTCTGAAGGTTGTCTTAGGCTTTCCCAGACACACCTCACCAGCTCCCTCTGCTGACCCAATCTGAAGGATGATGCCGCTGGAACTCCCGGTGAATCCTCAATTTTAAAACCGCACTCAGGGAGTCGGGAAGCGCCAGCCGTGGAACAACCTGATCGGAGCCTCTTGATGCAGTCACCTAAATTGCTCTATCTTTTTCCACCGCACCCGATGCTCCAAGAGGCCAAGTTAGGAGTCAGGGTGAGAAGTTTGTGCGCAGTTGGTTGGGCGGGGGGCTGTCTGGCGCCCCCTGCCGGCGCCCGAGGCCCAGCGCGCCTGCCTCCCGGGCACTACGCCTGGGACCGCAGGAGGCGCCCGTCCCTCCAATCCCAAGGCCGCTCTCACCGTCGCCCCGCCCCCAGGACCGCGCAGGCCGGACTCCGGTCCCCACCAACTTTTTAGAGCGAACGCTTCCTGCTGTCACCAGCCTGAGAGGCCAGTCGCTTGGCTTTGAGCAGAGAGGGCTGTGGTCAAAGTCAGCCTTAGGTCTCCTCTTAGGACCAGTAACTTGGGCTTCAGAGACAGGGGGAGAGGGACACGCTCTTGGGCCTTCGGCGCGGAGCCTCTGCTGCCTGGATCGAGGTGAGTGTCCGGGGTTTGTTTTTAGGGGAGATGTTCACAGAAGCTGCGTTTGCGGGGGACGCCGTTCTTGCCAAGCCCGTTCACTGGGGAGGAGGGTGACTGGAGCCTCCGGGTGCAGGTCCCAGCAGCACAGTTAGGAAGTCGGGAAGCCCAGGGCAGGGGTCGGGAGACCAGGGTCACGTTGGGGGTGGGGAGAAGTTGTCCTGAGAAGAACAGAGCCCCGGACTGCCGGAGTCCAGCTTGCCTCTGATGTCCTCTTGGGAAGGACAGCAGAGCCAGGCTCTGGAAACCGAGACCCTCCACAGGTGGCGGCGGGGAATCACGGTGCCCAGGAGGAGAACCGCGGCTGATGAGATCCCAAAGCCCACACATGACACGGTGTGCGAACCACCCACACCTCTCCATGTCCCAGAAGACGAGAGCTGGGGGTAGTATGGGGTGCAGATTCCTTCTGGCCCAAGGTCCGGTTCAGAAAGCAGGACTGCAGAACCCAAAGGCCAAGTGTCTTCTCTGATAAGCAGATGCTGATCCATAGTGGGGGGTGGGGAGAAGGGAGGAACTTTGGAAGGTGCCGAGGGGCATCAGGGGCGGGAGGGGCGGGGAAGGGAAGGAGCAGGAATGGGAGGACATCATTACCTGTACACACCTGTGATGACACGCCCCTGTGACTGCACCAGGTCCAGCCGGAGCAAGGGAAGTGGTGCTCCATTTGTGAACAGTGTGTCAAAATGCACTCGACTCTCACGTGTAACTAATGAGAACAAATTTTTAAATTTTTAAAAATGAAAATAAAACAAAAAGCAAGGCTGCTTTCCGCCAAAGGACAAGCCGCCTCCGGGCACAGGGTCCCGCTGCGGGCGGCGCTCCCTCCCTTGGAGTTCACGTGCGATTTTGTTTCTGGGTAGATTTTGGGGAACTATTTACCTGGTTTTCAGACACACACACACACACACAAAAACCCAATCCTTTCAAGCTGGAAAGGAATAAAGAGAAAATTGTTTTTTTACAAATGTGAAAACCAGGGCACACAGACATCTGCTGTTCAGTGCCAGGTCCCATCAGCTGGTGAGAGGCAGAAGCCAAGCAGATCTCAGACCTCTGTATTTCAGGTTTGTTGGTGACCTTCCCAAACTGACCTAAAGTATATTTTGAAAGGACTGCCCCTACTCAAAACTGTATAGTTTGTAAATACGAGTTAATTTTAAAAAATACAAGTCCCCAATTTTTTGGCCATCAGTAAGTTCTCTAGTCAACCTTTAACAGACACATGTTCCTGCCCAGTCCTGTTGTATCCCAGGGCCTGCAAGCTTCGTACCCAGAGCATGCTGCTGTCACAGGCCTTCACATGCTGTGTTTGACTGTAATTCTTTCTGCACCCGTGAGGGCCGTCACTGTGGCTTTTTGTTGTTGTTGTTGTTTGTTGTTTTAAAAGACTTTATTGCTTTTATGTAATCACTGAGTCCCACTTATTTGGGGCCCTACACTTGGGTACCCTGGGCACACCTGTTGAATGAATTCATTTGCCACCTGACTGTTCAGTTCAGTGTGTTTCTCACTTTACCAATTCAATAAATGACTACTTTTGCGTGTGTTGTTAATGACAGAGCACAGCAGAGATCTGCCAGTGCCAGACTTTTACCCAGGGGCCTAGCAGTTTCATGCCTATAATCCAGCAGTTCAGGAGGCTAAGGCAGGAGGATCATGAGTTGAAAGCCAGCCTCAGCAAAAAGTGAGGTGCTAAGCAACTCAGTGAGACCCTGTCTCTAAATAAATATAAAATAGGGCTGGGGATGTGGCTCAGTGGTCAAGTGCCCCTGAGTTCAATCCGTGGTACCCCCCCAAAAAAAAAAAAAAGAAAATCCAGTTTCTTTTTGGTAGAGGCCATTTATTTCCTGTTAGAAGCTGGTGGACCCAAAGGGATCCACAGTGTTTGTCTCTTTGTTTCCAAAGTGTGTTGATGAATTTCTTCTGTCTGAGCTGTCTTTTCTGGGGAGAAAGGAGAGAGGGAGAGAGATGATAATGAACACTGAGTAAATATTTTATGCTAGGCACTTTTGTGTAAATGATGTCACCTTGTCTAATACACAGTCCTTTAGCTTAGATATTTTTCCAATCTTACAAATAATGTAGGTAAGAGTGATTCTGTAGTTTTTAAAGGTTTATATGTCAAGTCAGCAGCAGAGACAAAGTTCAGACCCATCCTACTGACTTCAAAAGTCTACTCTCCTTGCAGCCTACTTGGCTCTCCCAAATAAACCAAGAGTCTGAAAGAAGAGTAAGTTTCGCGACAGATAATGAGCTGGTTATGGAGATCGAAACCTTATGAAGGGCAGAACAACCAATAAATTTGTAACAGACAACCCCAGGAAGTCCCTCTGATTCTCACTGCGAGTCCATGAATCTGCCAGAACCAGTTGAGTCTCAGGGTCTGTGGGCCAGGAGCTTTCCTTGCTCTCCATAATACAGAAGAGACATTGCGTGTGTGCCTGGAGCTTCTGATCTGATGAGGAGGCAAGTTCAAGGACCACAGGGGAAAACTCCCCAGGCCCATGCCAAGTGTCAGCACAAACCTGAGCATAGGGAAAGAGGTCCTGCAAGTCACAGGACCCCTCAAGCTCTCTGACCAACATCACGTGCACTTCCTGGCCTCAGAGAAAGAGACCCATGTGTGGAGTGGACTCTGCCTCTCCTTAGCAGGGCAGCCTTTGCTTATGCTGAGGAGGATGCCCGTGCTTCCCCCCCCCACCCATTGCTCTGTGGCTCGATGACTATCTGCTCTCTCGCCCACCCCCCACTACCAAGCCAGACACCACTGTGGCAAGTGGCACACGACTACAAAATCACACAGAGGACACTTAGCCAGATCCCAACTCAAAAAGTATCCTATCTTCAAAGGCAAAAGCCAATGAGAGTATTTTGTAAAGCAGTTAAATACGTGGAGGTCTCAATGACTGCTTGTGTGTTTTCTGAACTGGCCAAGGAAATTGCAGGGAAAAACAACCCTTGCAACTAAGTCCACTAGACGTGTTGAGAGCCTCATCACGACGTGAACCTGGGTTACTGGAATAACTGGTTACCTGAGGGAGGAGAGAAGCTGCACTGAACCCCAGCCACCCCTGCTCCAGTGCCCCTGACAAGCACAAGCCTCCTCGTTTCCACTTGACCTCACCTTGGACTCCAAAATGGCCCATATGGCTCTCCAGGGGGTTCTGTTCTCCAGTATGTCCATCAGTCCTGCCTCTGCACAGGGTTAAGGATCCCTACCCAGTCCATAGGAGTGAGACTTGTCTTTCTGTATCATTATCTCCATTCCTATCCGCCCTCCTGCAAATAAAAGGACTTCATTATTCTTGTGGAGGAGAGGTATCCCATTGTGTATATATGCCACACTTTCCATTTGTCAGTTGGTGGACCCTTGTTTCCATTTCTTGGCTATCACAATAGTGCCCCGAAGAACATGGGAGTGTGGCTGTCTCTTCAAGGTACTGATCTCATTCTCTTTGGATGTATGCCCTGCAGTGGGAGTGCTGGGTCATATGGCAGACTTAGCTTTATTTTTTTTAAGAACTGCATACTGTTTTCCATAAAGCTATGCTGGTTGACATTCCCAACAGTGTGCACATTCTCACCAGATGTATTGTCTTTAGTCTTGAAATATATAATTAACTATTATATATATATATATATATATGTAATACATATATATAGTTAGTTATAGGTGGACATAATACCTTTATTTTATTCTTATGTGGTGCTGAGGATTGAACTCAGTGCCTCACACATGCTAGGCAAGTGCTCTACCTCTGAGCCACAATCCCAGCCCCTGTCTTTAGTCTTTTGGATATTTAGCCATTCTATCTCAAGAGTAGGGTGAGGCGATATTGTGATTTTGATTTGCATTTTCCTGAGAGTTAGTGATGTTGAGCATTTGTTCATCTACCTCTTGGTCATTTGTATGTCTTCTTTTGAGAAATGTCTATTTAGGTCTATTGCCCATTTTTAATTGGTTCATTTGGGGGTGTTTTTGCTACTGAGCTTTTGGAGTTCCTTATAGATTCTCTTACACATTCTGGATATCAACCCCTTGTCAGATGTACACATTACAGAGGTCTTCTCCCACTCTGCAGGTTGTCTCTGCATTATGTTGATTGTTTCCTTCCAAGTGCAGTTTTTAGGTTTATGTAATACCATTTGTCTGGTTTTGCTTTCATATCCTGTGCTCTTGGGTCTTGTAAAAAAATCCTTGCCTGCGCCAATGTCTTGAAGCATACCGCACCGCCCCCCGGGGTTTTTTTTCTAGGAGCCTCATAGCCAGATCTTACTCACACTGAAGTGTTAATCCATTTTACACCGATCTCAGTAACTGGTATGAGACGGGGGTCTAGCTTCTCTCTTCTGCATGTGGATCTCTTAATTTTCCCAGCACTATTTAGTGAAAGGACTGTCCTTCCTCCCGTATGTGTTCATAGCCCCTTGGTTGAAAACTGGATGGCTATAAAAGCATGGCTTTACTTCTAGGCTGCATATTACCTTCTACATTCTTCCACATGTTTGCTTTAATGTCAATCCCATGCTGTTGATGACCAGTACATGTTGAAGTCAGGTAGTATTCTATATGCTGCTTGGTTCTTTTGGCTCAAAATGGCTTTGACTTCAAGGTTTTGTGTGGTTCCATAGAAATTTAGAATTGCCTTTTTTCCTGCCCTGTGAAGAACACCATTGTTTGGGGCAGTGGCTGGTTGGTGGTTTGTTTAATTTTGGGTATTGGGGATTGAACCCAGGACACTTTACCACTGAGCCACATCCCCAGCCCTTTTTATTTTTTTTATTTTTAGACAGGGTCTCACTACTTAGGGCCTCCCTAAGTTGCTGAGGTTGGCCTTGAACTTGCCATTCTCCTGCTTCAACATCCCAAGCCACTGGGATTACATGTGTGTGCCACAGTACCTGGAATCATCGGCATTTTAATATTTTAATTCATTGAATTTATAAATCACCTTGGGTAGTACGAACATTTTAAAACTATTGACTCTTCCAATCCCTGAAATCAGATATCTTTCCACTTTTTTAGGTCCCCTTCAATTTTTTTCATTAATGATTTATAATTTTCATCATAGAGATTTTTCACCTCTTTGGTTAAATGTATTCCTAGGTATTTGATTTCTTTTTGCAGCTATGTACATTGGATGGTTTTCTTGATTTCTGTATCAGATAGTCTGTCATTGACAAATAGTAACACTAATGATTTTTGTAGGTGATTTTATATCTTACAACTTTGGTGAACTCATTTATTAGTTCTAATCATTTTTGGTTGTGTTTTTTGGAGTTTTCTGTATATAAAATCATGTCATCTGGGGCTGGGGTTGTGGCTCAGTGGTAGAGTGCTTGCCTAGCATGTGTGAGGCCCTGGGTTCAATCCTTAGCAGCACATATAAATAAATAAAATAAAGGTCCACTGACAACTAAAATTTTTTTTAAAAAATCAAATTATGCAAACAGTGATAATTTGACATTTTTTCCAACTTGGATGCCCTTTGTTTTTTTCTCTGACTGACTGCCCTGGCTAGGACTCCCAGCACTATGTGGAAGAGGATGGTAAAGCAGGCATCCTTGTCTTGTTTCAGACCTTGAAAAGTTTTCATCTTTTCCCCATGCAATATAATGTCAACTGTTGGCTTATTATAAATGGTCTTTATTGTGCAGAGGTACATTTCTTATGTGCCTAATTCGTTTAGCATTTTCATCATGAAAAGATGTTGAATTTTATTGATCCATTTTCCATAATCACATTTGAATATAATGAACCATCCTTGCATTCCAGGGATTAATCCCACTTGGTCATGGTGCATAATCTTTTAAATATGCTGTCATATTTGGTTTGCTAGAATTTTATGGGAGATTTTTGCATATATGGTCATCAAGGATACTGGCCTAGAGCTTTTTTTCTTTTGGGGGGGGATGGTGGTGGTAGTGGTGGTCATTATTATTGCGTCCTTGTCAGATTTTGGTGTCAGGATAATCCCAGGCTCATCAAATGTCTTTGGAAGAATTCTTTCTTCTTCTATTGTTTTACATCTTTAAATGTTTGGTGGAATTCAGCAGTAAAGCCGGGTACGGTGGCACATGCCTGTCATCCCAGCAGCTCGGGAGGCTGAGGCAGGAGGAGCACAAGTTCAAAGTCAGCCTCAGCAATTTAGTGAGGCTCAAAGCAGTTTAGAAAGATCCTGTCTCAAATTTTCTTTTTAAAAAAATGGATCAGGGATGTACATCAGTGGTTAAACACTCCTGAGCTAAATATCTGGTACCAAAAACATAAAAAATCAGCAGTGAAGCCAACTGGTTGTGGGCTTCTCCTTGATGAGAAGCTTTGTATTACTGATACAATCTCATTACTTGGTATTGGTTTGTTCACGTTTTCTATTCATTCATGTTTCAGTCTTGGTAAGATTTTTACCTAGGAATTTATCCATTTCTTATAGATTATCAAATTTGTTGGCACATAGTTGTTCTTAAAAATCACTAATATCTTTGTATTTCTGTGGTGTCGGTTGTAATGTCTCCCTCTCCATCACTAATTTTGAGTCCTTTCTCTGCTCTTCTTAGTTATAGCTGAGGGTTTGTCTATTTTGTTTATCTTCGAAGAGCTAGCTCTTTGTTTCATTAATCTTATGTATTGCTTTTTAGTGTCTGACTCATTCATTTCTGCTCTGATCTTTATTATTTCTTTCCTTCTACTGATTTTGGGTTAGTTTGTTCTTGTTTTTCTAGTTCTTTGAGATGCAGCGATAGGTTGTTTAAGATCTTTCTACTTTTTTGATGTGGGCATTGATTGCTAAAAACTTTTGCTTTTGCTGTTATCTCCTAGGTTTTGGTATGTTGTATCTCCATTTTCATTTGTTTCAAGAAATGTTTAGCTGGGACTGTGGCTCAGTTGATCTAAAGTAATTTCCATGTATTTGTATAGTTCCCAAAGTTTTTCTTGTTATTGATTTCTAGCTTTATTGTATTTTGGTCAAAAGAATACTGTATATGATCTCATTTTTTTTATTTTTGAGACTTTTTTATGACCTATCATGTGATCTGTTCTCTAGAATGTTCTATGCACTGATGAGAAAAAAGTGTGTATCCATCATCTGTTGGATAGAGTGGTCTCCAGGTGTCTGTTAAATCTATTTGGTGTAGGATAGTTTGACTCTATTTCTTTGGTGATTTTCTATCTGGATGATCATTGATGAAAGTGGGGGAGTTAAAGTCCTCAACTATGGTTCTTCTGGAGTCCATCTCTCTGTGTGTCTGTCGGTCTGTCTGGCTCTCTCTCTCTCTAGGTCTATTAATACATGTTTTATAAATCTGGGTGCTCTGATATGAGGAGCACATATATTTAGAATTGTTTTTTCTTTATGCTGAATTGACCTCTTTATCATTATGTGATGACCTCGTCTCTTTTGACTGATTTACAGTCTAGTTTATCTGATATCGGTCTGGCCGCTCCTTCCTTCTTTTAGCTTCCACTTGCACGGCACATCTTATTGCATCCTTTCACTGTCTGTCCATGAGTGTCCTCAGAGGGAAAGTGAGTTTCTTGTAAGCAACAGAGTTGGGTCTTACTTTTGTGTCCATCTGGTCACTTTGTCTTTTAATTGAGGAATTTAATACATTTCCCTTTATGGTGATTACTTACAGGTAAGGTCGTACTAGAACCACTGTGTGACTTGTTTTCTAGTTTTTTTGTAGTACCTTTCTTTATTTTTCCCTCTCTGATAATCTTTGTTGGTGATTAAGTGAATACTCGAGTAGTGTATTATTATTTTACATTATTTTTGGTTTGTTTTGGATTTCTGGTTTTTTTTTCTTCAGTACTACGAAAATATCATGCCACTAGCTCCTGGCTTACAAGGTTTCTCCTGCGAAGCCAGCTGTCAGATGAACTGGGGCACCCCATGTGTCTTGAGAAACTTCTCTTTAGGTTTTGCTTGAGAGGGCTTGATTATAAAATGTCTTGGGGTAAACTTGGGTGAGTTAAATTTGACTGGTTGACTTTGACCTTCCTGTTCTTGAACATTTGTATCCTTCTCTGGATTTGGGAAGCTTTCTCTGAATATTTCTTTGAATAAACTTCCTACAGGACATTTCTGAAGGACATTCCCAAGTCCTCCCTGAACCCCAGGAACCTTCATATTTGCTCTTTTTTAAAAAGATTTTTTTTAGTTGAAGATGGATACAATGCCTTTATTTCTATTTATTTATTTTTATGCGGTGCTGAGGAGCGAACCCAGGGCCTCACACGTGCTAGCACTGAGCCCCCGCCCCAGCCCAGTATTTGCTCTTTTAATGCCGGCCCAGGGTATAAGCTTTCTTCATGACTCGTCACTTTTTCCTTTTTTCTCCTTCAACTGTGTATTTTCCATGACCTGTCTTTGAGCCAGTTCTTTCTTCTGTTTATTCTATCCTTCTATCGATACCTTCTATCACATTTTTACCTTCACTGAGTGTAATTTGTCAGCTCAATAATTCAATTTTTTTTAAATTGCTTTCATCTCTTTGTTAAGTTTCTTAGAGTATCAAAACTCTGTGATTTCCCCCACACTGGTTACTGCCTGGTAAGTTTCTAGCCCCTTATTCTGAGTACCAGGTGAGGCCATGGTTCTCTGGAAGCTCTCAAAGCTTGTTCGTTTGTGGGATCATCCAGGTATTGAAGATCAGATATGTATTCTGTCTTCCCGGTCAGGCTTTGTTGGTGCCTGTCTTTCCAGAAATTCTAAGCCATCCAGGCCCAGGTGTAACCCAAATACCCTGTCGGTGTGTTGTTCAGAAGATGAGGCAAGACCTAGAGAGAGAAGCCTGTCCCACAAGCCTCTCCCTGGGTTGGCCTGATGCCCTGTCCACAGTTACTGGGCCTAGGGTCAGACACTGCAGGGTTCTGCCAAGTTCTGTCAGTCACCATGGATAGAACAGCCCAGCTCCTGTCATACCTATGGCAATCAAAGCCACCAAGCTTTGTCAGACCATGAGCCCCCACAGCCCCCAAGACTAGCACAGCACTGGAATGGGACCGAAACCCCTGCCATCAGCCCCAGCTGACGCTAGCTAGGAGCCCAAGAGAAGGGGGCTCTTGTTTCCCCTGGCTTTGGAGCAGTGGCGGAGGCTCCATTCACAGGCAGCCCTCAAGAAGGGGCCATTAGGACCTGCCCAGCGTTAGTTTCCCCTGCAGCACGAAGTTCCATGGCTAAATCCTGTGCTTACCACCTGCCTACCCCATCGAATGGAGTCTGGCCTCATCTGTGCTGCTCAGGGCTGGGGTGGCACTGGTAAAGGTGGTCCCCTGGCCACCTGGGCTGATGCTCAGCTGGGCATAACTGAGTCTCACAGCCACAAGGCCCTGTGCAATCCCAGAGGTGCACTAAGGAGCATGCCACAGTGGGTGGTGACAGAGGCCACAACGTGCATCAGTCCTACGAGGCTCAGTTCTCTTCGGCTGCCAGGTCGATTCTGGAGCCCATATATGAGCACTGGCCTAGTGATAGCTGTGCTGCCCCAGGTCGAGGGATGGGAAGTGGAGATAGCCCCTTGTCCACCAGGGCTCACACCTAAGCCTCAAAGCCACAGGGAGCGGGTGCTCTCTGCATTAGCCTATGAGTGTCATTTACCATTATCATCATCATCCCCATTTCACAGATGAGAAAAGGCACAGAGAAGGCAACACTTAGCCCAAGGTCACACAGATAACAAGCAGTGAAGCTAGGAGGCAGCCCAAAGCAGCCTGATTTTAGAGTCTGCATTTTTAACCAAATTGTGATTCTGCCTCCACTCTAAGGTGAAAAAAGAGTATTTCAGGCACTATAAAATTCCTGTGTCAAGGGCTCCCTTTCAACCTCGTCACTTGAAGAAGCTCTGCTTGACCTTCCTCCAACCCCATGGCCAAGAGAGTTGCAGTGATTGGAGCTGGTGTGAGTGGCCTGTCCTCCATCAAGTGCTGCTTGGATGAGAACCTGGAGCCCACCTGCTTTGAGAGAAGTGATGACTTCGGGGGACTTTGGAAGTTCACTGTGAGTGGTCACACCCTTCCATTTCCATCAGTCACACTCTGGCCACCGGCTTTGTTTCTGGTCAGACATGGTGGCTCTTGCCTGCCTTGGTGATCAAGTGAGGGAGTAGCTCGCTCTGTCCACAAACATGTGCATGGTGCAGGGATCGACACTGTGCAGGACACGGTCTCAGGGAGGAGCCTCGAATGCAGGCAGAGGGTGGCTGGGGACAGGTAAGAGAAGGGAGGAGACTTGAGTCTGATAGGGTATTGGGATGATTTCTGAGCCGCAGACATTCTAAAAGTAGCAGAGTGTCCCATCAAGTAAGCAGAGCAGCACTGGTGAACAGGGATACCTCCCAGCTAGGGAGGAAACCAGCATCAGGCGGTGGAGGCACAACCACCAGGTATTTTTCAGGTCTTTAGGAAGAAAACCTGCAAGAGTGAGGCAGGATCCCAGGCCTTGGAAGGTCTGGTGGGTAGGGGAATAGCTTTTGCATTATCAGAACAGAAAGAAACCAGGAGCTGACCAGTCCGTCTTACGAGTAGAATATGCTGCGTGCAGAGCTGTGCTCAGGGTAGGTGACTTGAGCATCAGAAAGTGGGTCTGGAAGTGGCTAGATACCTGCCTTAGGCCAGGAATGGCCCTGAGGACCATTGGTTACAGGGAGTAGCAGAGTATTCAACAGGGACTAAGGGAGAATAAGAAGGTGTCAGAAGATAGGATCCAGGAAGGACCAAGTACTCAGCGTTTCAGGGGGAAAAGAAAAAGCAGCATCCATTCACCTGCTATGAAAGAGGAAACCTTCGAGAAAGAGCTGGCATTTGCCCAATCTTTCATAGATGGTGGAGAAAATAGAAAATGCAGCAGGAGTGGTCCAAACCCTAGGGGAATAGGGTACCAGGGGGAAAGCAAAACAACATCAGCAACAACAACAACAACACCTTTTTCTAATACAGTCTGAGCCTCAACAGGACACCACGATTGGTTTGATTTCTTTCTCCTAAAGTAATACAGGTTAATTTAAAAAAATAATATTGAATTGAACAAAAGGAAAAATACAAATAAAATATAATAATAATGCCCACATGTCAGCACTATTAAAATTACAATGTTATTCTTCAAATCACAATGATAATCTTAATTTTCATTCATTCGATAATGTCCTTCTGCCAGGACACAGACAGGGACCCTGCCCTCCTTTGTTGAGTGGAGAAATAGAAACAGCAAACAGATCATTGCAACATGGTGTGACCAGTTCTGTGTTAGAAGTGCAAGAGACTTCTTAGGTAGAGTTAAGGAGAGACTGGAGGGAAAGATGCAGGTTCGCCTCAGCCACAAGAAGTTCACCGGTGTTTTTAGATCTTGTTTTGCTGAGTGATGGAGACTGAGAGCGGACACAAGCTGAGGGACGCGGGAGAACACAGAGGCTAATGGCGATTCTTTCCTGCAGACTGAGAAGGGATGAAGAGAGATGGGGTAAAGGGGACATAGGTTGTTTTCTGCTGATGGGAAGGAGCCAATAAAGAGACAGTGATTGAAAATATACATAGACAATAATTAGGAATATCAGCTAGGGTTCCCTGCTCAGAAAGGACTATGGTGGCTCACGCTTGTAATCCCAGTGGCTCTGGAGGCTGAGGCAGGAGGATCATGAGTTCAAAACCAGACTTGGCAAAAAACAAGGCGCTAAGCAACTCAGTGAGACCCTGTCTCAAAATAAAATACAAAATAGGACTGGGGATGTGACTCAGTGGTCGAGTGCCCCTGAATTCAATCCCCGGTTACCCCCACAAAGGAGGACAATAACCAGAGCAAGTGTGCAAGCAGTAGCCATGGCAAGGGAAGAAGGAAAAGACTGAGGATGACGTTGGTCTTGGGGGGCCCTGTTACCTTTCATCAACTTCTTGCAGTTTGAGGAAGATGCTGTATTCAATTACTCCAGTCGTGCTACTGCTTCCTCATCATTACAGCATGGGGACCCAATGTTGGGTTTCCTGGAACTCTTCAAAATGACAAGTAGAACAGTAACTGCTGTGGCGCCCTCTCAGCTGGGCTAGCACGAGCCACCAAGATCTCTGTTCTCTTCCGCCTGTCTCCTTCATTCTGTCCGACTAACTCTGCCTTCACCGCAGGAGGATTCCAAGGATGGGATGACCAGGGTCTATCGGACGTTAGTGACAAATGTCTGCAAGGAAATGTCATGTTATAGTGACTTCCCTTTCCAAGAAGATTATCCCAATTTCATGAGACATGAGAAATTTTGGGACTATCTACAAGAATTTGTTGAGCGCTTTGACCTCCTGAAATACATTCGGTTTAAGGTAAGATATGTTGGGTTATGCAAGTTTAATGAATGAGAGCTGGTCTATCAGGGGTGTTTAAATGAACATTTTCTTGATTTTTACCTCTGTATAAATAAGGCAGATAACAATGTCTCCTCCTGCTGTTCTTGTTTTACTCAGATCATTAAAATACTGAATATCCTGATTTTTCCTCTAAATGCTGAACTCTCATTTGGGATGAAATTAATTTATTTTGGGGGGGAAGAAAAGGAAAGTAATTTTGTTCACTAAACCCATTAGGAAGAAATGACTAGAAGTCTGAACCACAGAAATTACAATGGAGCAAATCTCATCTTCCTCAATCTTTCCCCTGCATCTGGGATTGCAGTTCATTTTCTTCCCACCAGGATTAAACACTTGCAATGGAAGCACTCAGAGGTCTTGGGTCCTGGTCTGGGTGCCACCACTTGGGGAGTGTGCACACGCTACCGCACTCCTCCCTTCAGTCCTCACAGGCCCCTGCGGGAGGGCCTGGTCCACTTCACATAGCAGGCCTGGGGGCCAAGCCAGGCACTGCCATGCTCAGAGGCTGGGGCAGGGAGCCAGTGTTTGTCTGTCACTTGTAGACCACTGTGTGCAGCGTGACAAAACGTCCAGACTTCTGCGAAACGGGTCAATGGGATGTCGTCACAGAGACGGAGGGCAAGCAGGACAGAGCAGTCTTTGATGCTGTCATGGTGTGCACAGGACACTTCCTGAGTCCCCATTTGCCTTTGGAGTCCTTTCCTGGTGAGTCGTTTTGACCCACAACCATGCCTACTCTTTGGGGTTCCTCTAGAAGAAACATTATGGATTTGTAGTTGAAATTGCCACGATTATAGACAACTTTCTATTTACTCTAAAAAAAAAATGTACAAAACTACTTTGAAAGGTACAAAGCACTGTGCAGATATCAGGGCTTATTATTTACTTATTAATATAAGTGTCATTGTTTAAGCTTTATCATACATTTCTAATTCAAGTTCAGTGATTAAATAAGGTTCTGAACTATTAGGTCTGTCATTAAAAAAAAAAAAAAAAACAGGTTTTGATTTTGGAGGTTGAATGGCAGGACATTTGAATCAAGACTGCCCTGTAGCTCAAGAATTTAAGTGAGTATCAGGAAGTCTGACAGATTGTTTTAAGATGAAACAACCAGAAAATATACATGAAGAAGAATCTATTCACCCTTCAAAAGTCACCACAATAATGATCCATCCATTATACCTCTTAGATCAGGGCCATCCATATACAGGAGGTTTTGAAACTCCTTTTTGGAAATGCTTTTAACTCCAATAGCACATTCTTAGTATACTCATGATCAGCAAATCTCTGTCTCAAACCTTCATCTTTTGAGATCAAAACTGATTATTTGGGAAGCTCAAACCTATTCAGAACTAGGCATTGAAAACAAAGTCAAATGAGAATTACTAAAATGTTGTATAGCTACTCTTCTGTCACTAATGGTTCTAAAGGCAACTGAATAAGTATTGAAATTTTTTGAGGGAGTGAAACCACTTAGAAGGAAAGGAAGTGTGTGAATAATAAAACTTGTTGACCTTGGCAACCAAAAAATGAAATATGAATATCATAAAAGCAATCATAATTAAACAGAATGTCCTTAACAATAAAGTGAGAATTCAATCCAGGCTTTAGTAAGAAGCAATATTGTATCTGTGGCTTGGGCGTAGGTGGCCCTGGAGGCTGAAGGAACACATAACGCCTCTTATAACAATGTTTCCATGGGAAAATGTCTGGCAAGTGCCAGACAACCTGTTCAGAATCTCAGGGCTGTTCATGTGGTGCAAAGTCCCTTTCAATTCCCAGCAGACTGGCACTCTCCCACAGGCCATCACCTGGTTCACATGAAATATGGGAGGCAGAGTGAGAAGATCACAGGTTCAAGTCCAGACTGGGCAACTTAGCAGGACCCTGGCTCAAAATGAAATTTTAAAAAAAGGGCTGGGGGTGTAGCTCAGAGGTAGAGTGCTTTCCTAGCATGCACAAAGCCCTGGGTTCAATGCCCAGTATTACAAAGGGGAAAAAAATTAATGTGTAAACATTTTATGTACATAAATCACATTCTTTTTAAATTGTTTATTTTTAATGAACACATAAAAGTATACATATTTGTGGGGTAACATGATGTTCTGATAAATGTGTACAATGTATAACATTCTCTGAGGGTAAACATATCTATCTCCTCTTCATTTGTTAGTACTTTGTGGCTAAAACATGCAAAATCCTTTCTTTTAGCGTTTTTGAAATACATGGGATGTTGTTATTTATAATTACCTTGTGTGAGAACATCAGAACTTACTTCACTATGCCTCCCCCTTCTCTCTTGCCTTGGATAACCACTATTTCTACTCCCAAAATCTAGGAGATAAACTTTTCTTACATTCCACCTATGAGTGGAATCATGCAGTGCTTGTGTCTTTGTGCCTGGCTTAACTCCACTCGCCATGAGAACCCCCAGGCCCCACCACGTTTCCTCACATGGCAGGATCCACCCTCCTTTGTGGCTGAGTGGCACCCACTGTGTGTGTATATATACAGCGTTTTCTTTGTCCATTCATCAACTGATGGACACTTGGGCTGTTTCCAGTCCTTGATCATTGTGAATCATGCTGCAATAAATCATACAAGAGCAAATGTCTCTCCAATAAATCAGTTTCATCATGTATTCCTCTGGTTACACACCCAATAGAGGGATTGCCAGATCATGGGGCAGTTCTACTTCTCAAAACCTTCACACTGTTTGGCACAATAGCCACCCTAATTTGCCTTCTGCTGACAGTGGGCAAGGCTCCCAGTCCTCCACACCCTCACCAGCGCTCGCTCTTGTCTTGTTTATCACTGCCCTCCTAACTGCAGTGAAGTGGGATCTCGCCATGGTTTGACATGCATTTCCTAATGATTAGCAACTTGAGAATTTCTTTCCAGAAATTAGCCATTCATAGATCTTCATTTGATAGATATTTAGGCGTATTGCCCTTTTTTAAAAAAATCAGATGATTTGGTTTTTTTGTTTGCTTTTGCTGCTGAGTTGATGAAGTTCCTTATATATTCTGGATACTAACCCCTTGTCAGGTGTATATACTGCAGATATTTTTCCCATGCTGTAAATTGTCTTTCACTCTATTGTTTCTTTTGCTGTGCAGAGCATTTTAGTTTGATTTGTACACACTGACTTGTGTTGCCTATGCTTCTTTTTTTTTTTAATCAAAAAAAAAAAAGAAAAATCCTTGCCCATTTCAATGTTGTAAAGCCATTCCCTTTTGTTTTCTTCCAGTACTTCATGGTTTCAGGTCTTTTTTAAGTGTTTTGTCCATTTTGAGTTGTTTTTTGTGTATGGTGAGAAATCTGGTCTAGTTTCATTGTTCTGCATGTGAATATCCATTCACTGAAGAGAATGTCCTGTCTCTGCAGCGTGTCTCTTCAGCACCTCTGTTGAACTGTGGGTGTGTGGGTTTACCTCTAGACCTAGTCTGTTCTGTATGCCAACCATGCCATTTTGATGACTGAGTCAGCTTTGTGGTATGTTTTGAAGTCAGGTAATTTAATGATGCTTGTTTTGTTTTCTTATTTCTGTTTCTAAGATTTCTTTGGCTAACTGGGAATTTCTGTGGTTCCAAATGAATTTTAGAAGTATTTTCTGGTTCTATGAAGAATGTCATGGGTGTTTAGATGGGGATTGCATTGACTCTGCAGGTTGTTTTTAGCAGTGTGGACATTTTACCAACGTTAATATTTTAATCCATGAACATGACATCTCTTTCCATTTTTTAAATGTCCTCTTCAATCTCTTTAATAATCAGTGCTTTAGAGTTTTTATTGTAGAGATCTTTCACCTCTCTGGTTAAATTTATTTAAATGGGACTGTTTTATTGATTTCTATTTCAGAGTATTTGCCATTGGCATATAGCAATGCTACTGATTTTTATTTGTTGATTTTGTATCCTCCAACTTTGTAGAATTCATCTATTATTTCCAATAGTTCTTCTGTGAAGTCTTTGGGCTTTTTTTTAATGTAGATATATAAAAGCATGTCATCTGCAAATGTGGACAATATGACTTCCTCCTTTCCAAACTGGATGGAGTTTTCTTTAGCCCGATTGTCCTGGCAAGGATTTCCAGTAGTACAATGTGGAATGAATGTGGTGACAGTGGCATCTTAGTCTTGTGCCAGATCTCAGAAGCCCTCAGCCTTTTCCCACTCAGTATGATGTTAATTGTTGGCTTATTATATATGGCCTTTATTATGTTCAGGTATGTTCCTTCTCTACCTAATTTGTTTAATCATTTTATCATGAAAGGAAATTGAATTTTATCAGAAGCCTTTCTACGTCTATTTAAATGATTAGGTAATTTTTGTTCTTTGTTCCTGTTGATGTGTTGTATTGCATATGTTGAACCATCCTTGCATTCCTGGGGTGAACTCTGCTTGATTGTGGTGAATAATATCTTTAGTGTGCTGGTGAATTCAGTTTGCCATCATCTTCCTGAGGATTTATGCATCTATTCATTTATTCATCAAGGACATTGGCCTATTGGCCTCTTTTCTGTTGTTGGGAGCTTGTCTAGTTTTGATATGGGGCCTCACAGAATTAGTTTAGAAGAATCTCCTCTCTTCAGTTTTTTGGGATGGTTTAGACAAGTGTTGGTGTTCATTCTCCTTTAAATGTTTGATAGAATTCAGCAGTGAAGGCACCTTGTCCTGAACTATTTTTGGTGGGAGACTCTTTATTATTGAGTCAGTCTTCTTACTTATTAACGATCTGTTCAATTTTTCTATTTCCTCATGTTTCAGTCTTGGTAAGGTACATGTACCTGGGAATTTGTCTGTTTAGGTTTACTATGTCTTCATAATTCAGTCTTGATAAGGTCTGTGTGTCAACAAATCTGTCCATTTTTTTAGGTTATCAAATTTGTTGATGGATAGCTTTATATTTCTGTGGTCATTTGCAATCTCCCTGATATAAGTCTTCTCTTGTTTCTTAGTCAAGCTAAGAATTTGTTTATTTTCTTTATTCTTTTGAAAAACCAGCTCTTCATTTCATTGATCATTTAAATTTTTTAGTCTCCCTTTAATTTGTTCTAATATTTATCATTTCTTTCATTCTATTAATTTTTGGTTTAGTTTTTTCTTGTTGTTCTACTTCCTTAAGGTGCAATGATAGATAAATAGATCTCACATAAACAACCTATCTTTCTTTCTTTCTTTTGGTACTGGGAATTGAACCCAGGGATGCTTTACCACTGAGCTACATCCCCAGCCCCTTTTTATTTTGTGACAGGGTCTCACTAAGTTGCTGAGGCTAGCCTCAAACTTTTGATCCTCCTACCTCAGCCTCCCAAGTAATAGGGATTACAGGAGTACACAACCATGCCCAGCCTTCCTATTTTTTTGATGTGGGCATTGATTGCTATAAACTTCCCTCTTAGTGCTGATTCTGCTGTATCCTATAAGTTCTGGGGGTTTTTTTTCCATTTGTTTCAAAAGATTTTAAAATTTCCTTCTTAATTTATTCCTTGATTCACTGGATGTTCGGGAGTAAGTTCTCTATGTATTCATATAGTTTCCAAAGTTTTTCTTGTTATTCTAGTTTATTGCATCATAGAAAAAAAGATACTTTAATAAGATTTCAATTATTTAAATTTGTTGAGACTTTTCTTGGCACCTACAATATGATCTACTCTAGAGAATGTTCCATGTGATGTTAGAATAATGTTCATTCATTATTGGTTGATAGAATGTCCTGTAGATGTCTATTAGATTCATGTGGTCTAACTCTGCTATTTCTTTATCAATTTTCCATCTGGATGATCTGTCCAGTGATAAAAAATGTTTAAAAGTCCCCTACTATTATTGCATTGGTCTGTCTCTCTCTCTCATATATATTCATTCATATTCTCTCTCTCTCTGTATATATATATATATATATACACACATATTTGCTTTATATTATATTTAGTGCATACAATATTTGGTACATATATATTTATAATTATTTCCTCTTGCTAAGTTGACCCTTTTATCATTATACTATTATGTATGGCCTTCTTTTTATTTAGTCTACTTTATATGAAATTAGCATAACTATTCCTGTTTTGTTTTGGATTGTCATGCAATATCTTTTTCCATCCCTTCACTTTGAGTCTTTATGTGTCTTTAGAAGTGCATTTCTTGTAAGCAGCATATAGTTGGGTCTTGTTTTTATGCATTCAATCACTCTTTTAACTGGAGAATTTAACCATTTAAACTTAAGGTCTTATTACTGCCATTATTTTCTAACTTTATTTCAATTCCTTTTTTCTTTCTCCCTCCCTCTCATATAGTCTTCCTTCGTGTATAAGTGATTCACTCTAGTAGTGTGTTTTTATTCCTTTCTTATTATTTTTGATACATCTATAGTAGATTTTTGCTTTGCTATTACAGTGAGATTTACAAAAAAAGAATTTTGTGATAATAAAAAGCTATTTTGAAATGAAAATAACTTAACATTGATCATAAAAATAGGGAGAGAAACAAAAAGAGAGAAGAAATACTAATTAAAAATTCTACCATTGCCCTCCATTCTTCTCTATATTTTTCATTTTTGTTATCTTATTTTCTATCTGTCTATATTGCCTATTTCTTAACATATTGATAAGGTTATTGTTTTTATTTATTTGGGCTTTTAGTCTTCACATGAAAGATATGAATGGTTTTTGCATTATCTACTTTATTAGAGCATTCTATATATGCCATCACAATTACTCTTACCAATGAGTTTCTGATGTTTTCTTCTTACACATTAGCACCTCTTTTAGTTTAGAGAACTCCCCTTAGCATTTCTTGTAGGACAGATCTAGTGGTGATAAACTCTCTTTTTTGAGAATGTCTTTATGCCTCTTTAATTTTTAAAGGATGGCTTTGTTCGGTATAGTCTTTAAAATCACAGTCCTTTAGAATATATCTTTTAGGTAAAGTAACATACATCAACAACAACCTCCTTTTTTTTTTTTTTTTTTTTAGTTTGAGATGCTTATTCAGACTCCTAAAGAAGAAGATGTTAATTACATAGTTGGATATGAGTGTAGCACTCATGGGAGAAATTATAATTGAGTATAATAATATAGAAGGGGCGTCATTATTGGGGACTAGAAATAATCTACTTCTTCCCTAGGATGTTCAGGAGAGTGCATGGGACATTTCTTACTATCTGCAAAGAGTTTTATTTCCCAAATTGCTTTGAAAGGGAATGCATACGTGGCAATATATGATCCAGTGCATTTCTAACTAGGCAGGGTGCACTTCAGGTACATCTGGGCTAACTGCATCCCAGGAAACAGGAGCATCATAAGCTTGTTCTACTTCCTGCAACTAGTGGCAGGAGCAAAGGGCTGCCATATTTCTGGAACTTCCTTTTTTTAACGAACCCTGTTCCTGCTTGCTGGGGAATTACAGCCTGCGGTATTTCAAACTGTCTAATCCCTTCCTCTCCTCAGGAATCCATAATTTTAAAGGCCGGATCCTGCACAGTCAAGAGTACAAGAGCCCAGAAGGCTTTCAGGGGAAACGCGTCTTGGTGATTGGTCTTGGGAACACTGGAGGAGACATTGCGGTGGAGCTCAGCCGAACGGCAGCTCAGGTACCACTTCTGAATCAGTGCCCTCCTCCCGTCTTCATCCCTGGCGTCCAGAGACACGTTCTCAAGACAAGAACGCCTGCGGGCCAGTTCCTAATTGTGCTGACGTGGGCAAGTGAAGAAACTGAAAGTCTTCAGGGCCACTCTTTTAGAAGCCAATTAACAGAACTGAACCATCTCCAAAGAGTCTAGGAAGGGTGTCAATGCCAGGCCACAGGCATTTTTCAGAAGAGCTCCTTCAGGAACAAGACCAAATGGGCAGAATGCTCCAACCCAGGCAGTTGTCCTGTTTTTAACTCACTCTGCAATTCCGGCAAAACCCCACATAAGACTAGAAAGAGGAGGTTGTTTTCTGGATGTCTCCAAGTTTTCTACTAGAAACCAGATTTGTACCTTGGTTTAAGATAAAAGCAATCTTTTCTTTGCCTAAGAAGTATATATAATGATTTTAGAAAGCCCAAACATAAAATCACAAAAATCTAAATCTATTCCACTTCAGCATAAAGTATAAGATAATGATTAGATGTAGAAAGAATATGTTGGCGCTTAATTCAGTTAAAATTGCTTTTCCAAGCCCTCATCTAAAATTTTATATTATTTACAATATAAATACCGTGTATCTCAAAACATTCTAATCCTATTCTTATAACTCTATAAACATAATGAAATTCTCAACATAACTAAATCGGGTAAAGTGCTTTTTAGAACACTGACAACAGGAATATGTAACTCATATGTAGATATATGAGACAAATTTATAAAAACTCTGTTAGAAGACCAGAATGCTGTAAGACCACTTAAAACACAGTTGAATAAAAGTACTACAAAATGATGACCCGTATTCATCCCTATTGCCTTACTTTCTAGGTACTTCTCAGTACTAGAACTGGCACCTGGGTTATTAGCCGCTCTTCAGACAGAGGCTACCCTTTTAACATGATGATCACGAGAAGATGCTATACGTTTATTAACCAACTGCTGCCTCCATGTTTCGTAAACTGGCTTCAAGAGAGGCAGATGAGTAAAAGACTAAACCATGAGATTTATGGATTGAGTTTTACAAAGGGGTACTTCAATTCTTTTATTTCATAGAAAAATTTTTATTTATTTATGTTCTTTACTTTTTATTATCATGCAATAACTGCAATGCTGATGGGGTTCGTGGTGATATTTCCAGATAGATAGATAGATAGATAGATAGATAGATAGAGATATCTCCACACACCCTCTTCCCAATCTCTCTGAATCAATGTTCTACTTTCAGATTGACATTTTTAGCTTCCATGTATGAGAACATATGGTTCTTGTCTTTCTGTGTCTGGCTCATTTCACTTAACACAATGTCTTCCAGTTCCATCTGCTTCAAATGACAGCATTTCATTCTTCTTTATGACTCAGTAGTACTCAGTTGTACACATATATGCATTTCTTTTTCCCTTCTTCTATTGATGAACATCTAGGCTTACTCCATACCTTAGCTACTGTGAAGAATGCCAAAATAAATGGGCATGCAGGCATTGCTTTGGTATGATAATTTCACTTCCTTTAAATATGTACCCACAACTGGGGATTAGCTGGAGCACATGTGGTAGATCTATTTTTAGTTTTTTGAGGACCCTTTATACTATTCTCCACAATGGCTGTACTCGTTTACATTCTCACCAACAGTGTATAAAAGCTCCTTTTTCTCAATAGCCTCACCAGCATTTGTGACTTTTTTATTACAGCCATTCTAACTGATAAGGTTATAGTTTTTATTTGCATTTCTCATGGGAAATATTTTAAATCAATATTTTTTCTATATTATTCAGAACTTGAGATGTGCAATAACAAAAGTAGGAATTCAAGAAAATGAAGGGTGCTGTCATTTGCAGCTAGAAAATCAGAAAATTTAGATTGGCCCTGAAGACCCTTGAAAATGCTGCCATGTGAAAAATACAGTGTGGCAGCATCCGTGTGTGCAGCTGCTCTGTTCTCACCAGTCTACAATGAATGTTCTGGCAGAGTGAGGAGGAGGTCTGCACTCACAGTAGCATTTCCTGAAACGATGTGTGGTGATGCACCTCTGCACAGAGCTGCACACTGCCCGGGGGGGGGGGGGACTGAAATGGGTGTAAGATCATTAAAATGTCATTTTTATCATGTGATGACCCAAATATTCTTTGGTAAGATACATTTCAACCTTCAACTTATTAAAAAAAAAACAACTAATGGCTCTTGATTTTATTTTTGCACTCTAGGAGTCTTATTACAGAAGTCAGGGCCTAATCCCACGTGATGAAGATTTGGGTCTACTTTTTCTTCTATTAGGTACAGGGTCTCTGGTTTAATTCCTAGGTCGTTGATGCACTTTGAGTTGAGTTTTGTGCCTGGTGAGAGACAGGGGCTTAATTTCATTTTTAAGAATTAAAAAATGGGATGGATTTAAACTAAAAGTCTTCTCAGCAGAAGAAACAATCAATGAGGTAAATAGAGAGCCTACACTTTGGGAGTGAATTTTTACCATATGCACATCAGATAGAGCCCTAATCACTAGGATATATAAAGAACCCCAAAATCTTTTTGTTTTTTCTTTTTTCTTTTTTTTTTTTTTTTGGAAGAACTCAAAAATCCTAACACCAAAAAAAACAAATAACCCAATCAATAAATGGTCCAAGGGACTGAACAGACACTTCTCAGAAGATGATATACAATCAATCAACAAATATATGAAAAAATGTTCAACATATCTAGCAATTAGAGAAATGCAAATCAAAACTACTCCAGTCAGAATGGCAGCTATTAAGGATACAAACGATAAGTGTTAGCGAGGATGTGGGGGAAAGGCACATTCATACATTGCTGGTGGGACTGCAAATTGATGCAGCCGTGGTGGAAAGCAGTATGGAGAATATTTGGAAAACTGGGAATAGAACCACCATTTGACCCAGCTATCCCTCTCCTGGATCTATACCCAAAGGGCTTAAAAACAGCGTACTACAGGGACACAGCCACCTCAATGTTTATAGCAGCACAATTCACAGTAGCTAAATTGTGGAACCAACCTACATGCCCTTCAGTAGATGAATGGATAAAGAAAATGTGGCATATATACACAATGGAATATTACTTAGCAATAAAAGAGAATAAAATCATGGCATTTGCAGGTAAATGGATGGAGTTAGAGAAGATAATGCTAAGTGAAGTCAGCCAATCCCAAAAAACTAAATGCCGAATGTTTTCTCTGATATAAGGATGCTGATTCATAATGGGGATATGGGGGAACATGGAAGGAACATGGAGGAAGTTTAGATAGGGCAAAGGGGAGGGAGGGGAAAGGAGAGGTGGAGGCAGGAAAGACAGTGGACATCCATCCGAAGTATATGTATGAAGACACTTTATGTATAACCAGAGACATGAAAATTGTAAATGAATTGAATTGCATTTTGTTGTCATATATAACAAATTAGAATAAAAATTTTTTAAAGATTAATATGATAAAAAAAACTAATGGCAAAGGATGATCAGATGTGTAAATCTAATAAAGACAGCATGTCTGATGATTAGGCAGAATGGTGCTCACAATGAAAATACTTATCAGCATAAGTAGACTCAAAGTTGGCATTGAAAGAGTTTCTTAGTAATGTCCTCTTTGCCTGATGTCATTCCTAAAAGTATAGGTGACACGAAACCCCAAACTTGTCATCCAGTGATTTGTTATATACTCAGTGCTGATACTTTAAGAAAAAAAAAAGCTCTAGAAATTAATTATAAGAGAGAGAGAGAATTGTAAATTGAGTCAGGAAAGAGTGGGGTTATTCATTTTCCACGTGTCTTCTACTGAGAACAAGAAAAGAAAACATGTTATAAACAGTAACCAGACAACTGTGAATTAGACATCGTGACGGATGAATAATTGGACACTCATTTGTTTGGCTTGACAGATAGTTTACCTTAACTGACTGAATAAATCATTGGCTAGAGTATTTCACAACTATAACCACGATGAATATTTTTCTCTTCTGTGTCAAAGGAAGAAAAAAAAAATTATTGTGAATGACGAGCTGCCAACCTGCATCCTCTGTGGGCTGGTCACTATGAAAACCGGTGTGAAGGGATTCACAGAGACCTCTGCCATCTTTGAAGACGGGACAGTGGAAGCCAACATTGATATTGTGATCTTCACTACAGGATATATATTTTCTTTTCCCTTTCTTGAAGAACCTCTCCAAAGCCTTTGTAGAAAGAAGATATTCCTACATAAGTGGGTCTTTCCCTCAAGCCTGGAGAGAGCAACATTAGCCATCATTGGCCTTATCAGCCTTAAGGGGTCCATCTTATCAGGCACAGAGCTCCAAGCACGGTGGGCCACACGAGTGTTCAAAGGTACCTTGACTCTAATATTTAGAGTCCTGTATGATCAGCCAAAATCATCTCCCTGCCGTTTAGCTAAAATCAAACAGATCCAAGCCAAAGTGATATAAATATTATAAAAAATTAAATGAGCAATTAATCATACATATGTATAGTGGTATAATGAGTGTGTATGTCACTCCATCTGACTGAGCAGAGGAGATTCTGACTCTGTAGATGGGATAAATTTGAACAGAATGTAATCAAATTTCTCAGATGAACTGAACTTTTTGGAAGCTTCAAGAGCCTGTTCTATTCTAGTCCAGTCTGTTTACTTCCAAGTCTTTCCATTTATTACTAGAAGTAGAATTTTAGATCACTTTAAAAGGTACTGGAGTAATGCATGCTGTGGATAAAACTGAGGTATGAAGAGACAGCGACCTTTTAAGTGCTCGTAGCAATTCGGTAGGCCCTGGGCACTCCTTTGGGCAGATCCCACAAGAGCACCAGTGCAGGAGCCAGGGCTGGGGGGTCCAGAGCCACTGGGCAGGGACCCTGTGCACCTCAGCCCCTTCATCTGCAAAGTAAGGATGGCAGACCCTCTTTCTCAGGACTTGTTAAAATTTACAACGTCTGCCAAGCCTCAAGTGGCACACTTGACACAGGAGAGGCCTATTAAGTGACCACTGTTGCCGCTTCTTGCCATTCCCAGCATGCCTGCTACAGAGAGGAAGATTTAGATGAGTGAGCGTTCCAAAGAACTGCAGAGTGTGATCTTTAAATATAAACAGCATTCATGGTTGGACCAACCAGCTGTCCTTAGTGAATAAAAACATCCACCAATAATTTACAAATAGCATATAAGACAGTATTAAGTGGTGATGACTTCTAGCCCACTGTACAAATGCAATAGATATTAACCACACCTAAAAACCTGTGCCCTCAGCCAAGCACAGTGGTGTAAGCTCCTAATTCCAGCTACTCAGGAGGATGAGGTAGGAAGGTCATAAGTTCTGAGGCCAGCCTGGGCAACTTAGACCTTGTCTCAAAATATATATATTTTTCTTTAAAAAAGCTAGGAGACTGGGCATAGACTGCATGCCTATAATCCCAGCAATTTGGGAGGCTGAAGCAGGAGGGTAACAAGTTCAAAGCCAGCCTCAGCAACTTAGCAAGGTGCTAAGCAACTTAGCAAGACCCCATCTCAAGATAAAAAATAAAAATAAAAGTGGCTGGGGTTGTGGCTCAGGGATTTTTGCCCCAGGGATTGATTGGTTAAGCAATCAATCCCTGGGGCAAAAATTAATTAATTAATTAATTAATTTAAAAGGCTGGGGTGGGGGGGGTGGGTAGCTCAGTAGCAGAGCACTTGCCTGGCATGCACAAGGCTCTGGGTTCAACTCCCAGGACCACAAAAAAAGAAAAGACCTAAGTATTTGTAGCTGGCAAACATGCTATTCAAATGGCAGAGAAAGTGTTTAGAAGATTTTCACCCTATTTACATTACAGGAAAAAAAATCCATCCCCCTTCATTAAGTTACCACAAACTTGTATTTCTTTAAGGACAATGCAGTGCCTTCACAGCTCTGTCCAGTTAAGTGAAAATCAATCGTAGAGGACTTAAGTGCTGGTTTGGGAGGTCTTTTTATAGTGAGCTCCAAACTGCTCATTAGGATGATAAAGCCAACACCACAGTAGGAGTAGCTTCACGATCCCCAGACGGCTTCTGGGAGCCACCAAGTCTTGCTAGTTCTTCAGGATAACGTGGTCCTAGCAGGAAGTGCACCCGTGAGCTGAGTGAGACCTCTGGTGTGGACCCAGAAGCCCACTCCTGGGGCTGGCCTGTGGTACCCAGCAGGGCAGGACTGGCCAGAGTGGGATGGTGAACAGGGAGAGCCCAGTGCAGGGGGGTTCACGTGAGAGCAGGCCTGGACACACCAGGAACCCAGAAGACCCAAAGGGGTCTCAGTCGGGAGCTATGGGGCAACTGCAGAGGGGGGCCAGAGTCCACGCTGTGACGGCAAGAAAAAGGCCAAGTGTGACACTGAGCACAAGGCCCCCGCACAGCTCAAGCAGGCACAGCCTCCGTGAGACCCACGTGCTGCCAGCACCTGTCACTCTTGAGGATTCCCGTGTGCCAAAGCTGCGCTGGGAGGCGGGGTCGTTGTAAGCGTTCCCATCAGAGCTGGTAAGAGCTCTAACACCCACCCAGGTGCCTGTGCAGGCGTATGTGAGTGAGAGGCGGGAGACACCCTAAGAGCAGGTGCAGAGGGACGAGGGACGGGGCCGGCAGGTGCCACAGCAGGTGCTGCCGTCTCCTGGGTGGTGCAGGCTGAGGCCGGGCCAAGGTGCGCCCTCTCGCCGTCTGGCGTGTCCTGGGCTCTGCAGCCCCACTCAGCCCTGGCTGTCTCACGTCCTGAGGGTGGAGCCGTGGGAGATCAGAATGAGAGGGAGGAAAATTTAAATAAAGGAAAATCTCGTGGACTTCAGTGTGTTTCTGATCTTTCTCACAGGACTCTGTCAGATCCCTCCACCCCAGAAGCTGATGGCCGAGGTCACTGAAAAGGAGGAGCTCATTCAAAGGTAGGAAACAGGTTGCCACAGGGTGGACTTGCCAGTGGATTCTGTTACAAAGGAAAGCCACAAGGATTCCCAGTTACTGTGAGGGCCACTCCAGAGGCAGTAGGGAGGAGGGACACACCTCTGCCACCAACTGGACTGTGGCCTCAGACATGTCATGGGGGCGCCAGGTCTTCTCAGTGGGACCCAGTCCTGCCCTCACTTGGCCGTGAAACCCACTGTGGGTCTCCTTCCGCTTCTCAGGCTGCGCTTTCTCTTCTTGCTGGTGTCCCCTCTGGCTCACTCCTAGGCCTCGCTGGGCCCACCCCTTGGTCCTCAGCAGTACTCTCACTCCAGCAGGGCCTCATCCACCTTTAAACACCTCAATCCTGTGGCTCCGAGCCTTTCCTCCAGCTCCTCTGGATAGCTCCCTGCACATCTATAAAGGTGCCTCAAATTTGATGTCTAAAAGTGAACATTTTGGGGCTGGGGATGTGGCTCAAGCAGTAACGCGCTCGCCTGGCATGCGCGGGGCGCTGGGTTCCATCCTCAACACCACATACAAATAAAATACAGATGTTATGTCCACTGAAAACTAAAAATAAATGTTAAAAATATTCTCTCTCTCTCTCTCTCTCTCTCTCTCTCTCTCTCTAAAAAAAAAAAAAAAAAAAAAATTTTTTTTTTTTTTTTGAGATGAGGTCTTACTGTGCTGCCAGGCTGCCTTGAACTCTGGACTGCAGGCGTGACCAACACGCCCAGCTTAAGAACAAACTCCTCAGGTCCTCTCCACCGCTCCGCCCTGGCGGTGCGCCCCTCTGACCCTGCTCCCCTCAGTGACACCCGCTCGTTCTGGCTGAGTGGCACTGGAGCAGTCCTCCTCTCCTTTGCTCTCACACCTGTGTCGGCAAACACTGTCAGCCTCTGCCTTCCAAAGGAATCCAGGACTCGGACACTTCTCGTGACCCTGCTGCTGCCACCTCAGACCAGGCCTTCGGGACACTTCTGCCCCTCACCTGTCTCCCACTCTCTGCTCTGACTCAGCAACAAGCACAAGCTACACCTCGCTGCTTTCTGTTCAAACCCTGGGTTGCCTCCCTTTCCCCCCAGTCCCCGGGGCACCCTCAGTGCCCACCCTTCCCTGCCCCTGCCCCCCACACCTCCGCCAGGCCCAGCATCACCCTCCTGAGCCCTCGCAGTTGGTCCCCCTCTGCCTGAAGTTTCTCCCCAGGCACCTGCATGGCTCACTGCTCAAATGTCCCCCGTGAGGGAAGTCTTCCTTGTCAACATTGCATCTCCGTGTCTGGCTCCGTCCTGGTGCCCCAAGCTGTGGCCCCCCCTGCTCGCAATCACATGAATAAAAATGTAGGTGCCCATGGCCGCGGAGCCTTCTGGCCCTCCTCACCCATAACCACGGCTGCGTTTGGACCACCACACTTTACCCTCCTACCAAACGCCAGGAACAAAAGCGTCTCCTCCGAGGGCCTCCTCTCGCCTCCTCCTTCCACAGGCGAATCGTCCTCTGAGGGCGACTCCTTTAGCCTTTTCTGTCCGACCTGGAAGCACATCTCCAAGACATGGTTTGATCCCGAGGCAGAAGTAACACCCAGGAGGAGGGTGGGCTCTGTAACCCAGGAACATGGGGCAGGGAGGATCGCCAAACCCATGCTCCCTTCTCCCCACAGGGGTGTGATCGCGGACGCCGGTCAGGACAAGCTCGACTACATCCTCTACCTGGATGAGCTTGCCGCGTGCATCGGCGCCAAGCCCAGCCTCCCACTGCTGCTCCTCAGGGACCCCAGACTAGCCTGGGAAGTCTTCTTTGGACCCTGTACCCCTTACCAATACCGCCTGGTGGGCCCCGGAAGATGGGAAGGAGCCAGAAATGCCATCCTGACCCAGTGGGACAGGACCCTGAAGCCTCTCAAAACCCGAGTCCCTCCCGACACCCCCAAGCCTGCCTCCACGTCACACTGCTTGAGAGCTTGGGGTGGCCCTGTGCTGCTGGCCTCTCTCCTACTAATCTACAAGTCTTCACTTTCCAAGTGGATGCAGGACAGACTCTCCCCTCGGCTAGGGCTGAGCTTTGGGTGTGCCCCCTGGAGTTCATGGGCTGGCAGACTGGCCTCCAGCGTGGCAGCACTGAGAGGTGGGGACTAGGGGAGGGACTGGGGTCATTCAGACTCTACCTACCCTCATAAACGGATCAATGCCACTCACAGAACTGGATTAGTTTCCATGAGGTTGTTATAGAGTGAGGCTGTCCCTTGTTTTCTCTCCTCCTAAGGCACCTGCTTGGGAAGCAAACCTCCCACCTTTCAACATGTTATGAAAACACAGTTCTCACCAGAAGTTCCCCTAGGCCCTTGGACATCCCAGCCTCCAGAACTGTGAGCCAAAGAAACTTGTTTTCTTTATAAATTACTAATCTCAGGTCTTTTGTTACAGCCATGGAAAAATGGACTAATACACCTAGTGTTTGGTGAGGACGAAGCTGATTGGTTTCAAGGGTCAAACCATGCCATGATGATCCTATCTTCAAGTGTCCTGTGTATCCCTTCTATCCTTCCACTGTAACGTCTACAATCCAAGTTCAGGTCTAGTCCTCTCTTAGCAGATTTATTATATTGTGTATCACTCTTTGGTCTCAGTATCTTTCTCTTTCCAGTGCACATTCTATCCTGCTAGCTAAGCAGCTCTCCTAAAATAACAGTGTGATCATCCTTGCCAAACATAAAAGTATGAGCATTCTTGCCTAAAATTAAAATTATCATCATTCATATCGGGGTCCTGAGAGGAATAAGATGATGATACTCAAATTGAATAATCTGTGGAAATTTAATATAGAGATTAATCAAAAAGATGTGAGCATTGCTGGAAAATTGTAGGGATCGTAACATGCCCTCAGGCGACAGTGAGGTGGCTGACTATCCCCAGACCACAGCAGGCCAGGAAGAAGAGGAATCACCAACGAAAGAAGGAAGGAGCTTTGTACAACAGGAGCCACGGCTTTCAGCTGCGCGAGGAAGGCGGGCCTGAGGGCCCCAGAGTGGGAAGCTGAGGGGCAGACGGTCTGTCCTCTCTTCCTTCCCTCGTTCACCTCCAAAGCCAGCCAAGAGCCTGAGGCGGGGTGCCAGCTGTTGTCCAGGAGTCGGCCTCCCGGGTCGGTCACCCTGCTCTGTGCAGCTGAGACGACTGGTCAAGGTCACTCCCTGGAGAAGGAAACGTGGGTCATCACCTGAACTCTGGTGTCAGCCATGAGGCCCTGGCCAAGGAGCCTTTCCAAGCCTCAGTGTCCTCACCTGGAAAGGGAGGGTGATAATGGCACCGAGTGCAGGGTGAGCAGGGAGAGAGACGGTGCAGGGCGTCCATGCAGAACTGAAAGACATTTTCTGTTCTCTGCCTTAAGGGGCTGTGGGGTCACCAGGAGGCTTGGCCTGTACAGCTCAGTCTCTCTTTTGTCCTTGTGTCCCCTCCACCCTCAGATGGACTCTCCTGAAGGCAGCAGGTGAACATTAACAAAGGAGGGTTAGAAATCGCCATCCTGAAACGGCCAGTGAAGGTGTCCGGCTTTACCTGTGCTCCTCGGTGGACTTCAAACCCCACTAAGGCAGACCCACAGGAGCAACGTCCAGCTTAAGCTAACTGCACACCTGTTCTTGAGGGAGAGAGTGGAACTGAGAATGTCTCTTAGTTCATCAGAACTTAAACTTATAATGTGCTATTTTTTCAGTGCAGTAATTTTTAAATAATGAGTCAAACACTCAGAGAAGTAATTTACTTTGGTTTTCACAGAAAGGAGGAGACAGAACAGGGATTTTAAACCAAATATATGCAAACCCTGAAGCCACTAGCTGCCTTGGGAGGTAACTTCCCTACTCGTCTCAAGCCCCTTCAATTGGTCAGTGAAGCCCAGACCTTTTCCACCTCTTCCTCCAGGAAGCCTGCGCCTGCCCTCCTGCGGGCTCCCTCCTCTGCACTGCCTTCCCACCCTGAACAGACTGGGAGCATTGGGCTTGGCAAGTCCATGACTCTAGGCCTCAAAGAACACCCAATACCAGGAAAAGCCCAATGGGAGTTAACCCATTTTAAATGAGAATCAAATTTTCATAGTAAATATTAGGGGAAAATACTAGGTTTGATCAAGACTTCATTGAGAAATGAGATCAGAATTTTGAAAATAAGTTTGCTTGGTCTTTTTAAATGTCTTTTGCTAATATATTAATTTTTTAAATTTTTTTCTAATCAGTCATACATGACAGCAGAATGCATTAGTCTCATTGTACACAGAGCACAACTTTTCATTTCTCTGGTTGTACACAATGTAGGGTCACACCACTTGTGCAATCATACAGTACATAGGGTAATGATGTCCTTCTGATTCTTTCCTACTCACACACCGTCTCCCCATCCCTCCCCTTTGCCCAATCCAAAATTTCTCCATTCTTTCCATGCCCCTCCCCCATTGGGGTCAGCATTCTCTTAACAGAGAGAACAAGGCACACTCATACATTGCTGGTGGGACTGCAAATTGGTGCAACCACAGTGGAAAGCAGTACAGAGATTCCTTAGAAAACTTGGAATGGAACCACCATTTCACCCTGTTATCCCACTCCTCAGTCTATACCCAAAGGACTTAAAATCAGCATACTATAGTGACATAGCCACATCACAATTTATAGCAGCTCAATTCACAAAAACTAAACCATGGAACCAACCTAGATGCCCTTCAATAGATGAATAGATAAAGAAACTGTGATATTGAGATATATTACTCAGCACTAAAAGAGAATAAAATCATGGCATTTTCAGGTAAATGGATGGAACTGGAGAATATCATTCTAAGTGAAGTAAATCAATCCTAAAAAAACAAAGGCCAAATGTTTTCTCTGATACGTGGATGCTTGGCCTTTCGTTTAGCCAAATTTGGATTATAACTGAAACCATCTTCTAAAAGGAATTGCCTAGTTGTGAGAATTTACATGACAGCTAGATAAAACACCTTTATGACTTCCTTTACTACATATTCAACTTTCAAAACTAGACTATAAGTTAGCAATATTTTAATATTCAAGGTTTTCATTGATTTTGCCAAGGAACTAAAATTTCAATCCTCTCATATTTATACAAATCTCTTTTGAAACTCCTGTCATCACACATGCCAATCATCTCTAAGCCTTTCTTGAAATGTCTTCCTGGTTTAATGCTGCTAGATCCAGAGTTGCCATGGCTTAGCAGTCCTCCAGTATCACCTTCAGCAATTTTCTTTTGAAATCCTTATTTTGCAATATATGTAATTTCACTTTGTCAATGATTTGCATTAGAGTCTGCATGATCAGACAATCACCAGAGTCTGACCACAAAGACATTGGCGTCCTGAAGAGGCTGTCCTGTAGAACAGGCGTGTGGGTTTTAGAGAAAATGAATTTTAAGTGCTCAGTTAATTCATTCATTAACTCAACAAATATGCATTGAGCACTTACTGTGTTCCAAGCACTCTTCTGGACTGGGTAACCATGGTCAGTAAAGAGAAAGTCCTTGATGTCATGGAACACATACTGCACTGTGACAGGCAGGGATGTGATGACTGCCGGGAAGACCAACCATGCAGGCTTCAGAGAGGGTGGGGGAGCCAGCTGGGACGCTCATACAAAGCTTCCCTGAAGAGGTGACACCTGAAATGTTGCCAGTGGAAACTGGGTAAAGTGAGAGAGTGGCCCCGGGACAGTCTCACGGAAGGCGTTGTTTCTCTCAGCAATCATTAAGTGGCCTTGGGGCAGGCGTGTTAGAACAGTGGCCACCAACCTTGTTCACACCATGATGCACACAGAAAATGAAGACAGTCTTTGTGAGCCACGCTAAGACAAGCTGATAAGATAAGGGGAAGGGAGACCGATGTGACCACAGGGAAAATCATCTTTTCATATTGAAGTAAAACTGCTTAAGCCAAAAAATAGCGAAATATTAAATATAGAATTTATAATATACTTCCAAACAAAATTTCACAGGTTTTGGTTAAAACTTGAATTCATTTCTGGGGGTTTTCTATAATACTTGTTATTCTACATTAATTTCTAAATAAGATTTTTAAACAATGATCTCTTTATGTTATTACAAGTTGGTATAAAAATAATGCAAAACCATTTCACAGCCATTCAAAAAAAATTGAAACCGTTGAAATATTTTCTTTCATCAATAAATGTAACATGGAAAGTTTTTTGTGTTGTGAGAAGGGATCCAAGTCCCATCAAACTTGCAGAACAAGCAATTCAAAGTGAGACCAAGCTTTAATAGTGAGAGGCGCTCCCTTGGCTGGCGCACTCACCCTGAAGCCGCTGGCCCAAGAGGGCACAGGACTGTCTCCCTCGGGTGAGGACAGGAGCTCCAGGCTGTGTGCTGCGCCCACAGGAACCTTCCCTCACAGCCCCTGCCCCCTGCCCCCCAACACCCCACCCACCATCGCCACCAGGCTCCCTCACACCCTCCAGCAAGGCCCAGCTCCTGTGGACAGCGAACGTTCTGCAGGTCGGCCGAGGCGGACACCCGGGAGTTTCCCCACCTTTCTGACTTTTCGACCGAGCCCCTGGAGAAGCAGGGACTGCAGGACTCAACAGGCCAGGCTTCTCCTGGGGCCACGGGAGCTCGAGGTGCTCCTGCCAGCCCCAGGGCACAGGGTGGGAAGCTGCTGCGTGAGAGAGGAGGAAGGCGGGGGAGTGGAGGGACCCGGTGAACCCTGTGAACAGCATCAGTGAACGGGCTGCCTGAGACAGCTTCAGAAATACAGGTTCTAGGGAGTCTCCTTGCGATCATTTCTTCACGTCTCTTCTCAGTAGTGCGCTCTAAACACAGCCTGACAGCCAGTTCATAAAGCTGCCCACCACGCGGACCTGCGTTTCTCCAGGCCAACAGGCTTCTGAACGTCTCCCTGATTCATTAAGTCCTGGGAACCGTGTCATGCCTAGAGCTGTGGGTCAGGTCTTTGGGGCTCTCAGTAGTTCTGACACCTGTGCCTCCGGGAATGAAGGATGCAAAATCCCAAATCCTTACATTCCAAAAGTCCTCCCTACCCAGTAGGTAAGACTACACATGCTCTCCAGAAGCTCCAAGAGACTTCCCCTGCAGTAGCCTGATGACCTTCTAGACTCCCCCTTTATCTGACAGACAGTTGCCAATTAGGGAGCAAGGACCCAAAGACTCCAACATTACAACTAGAAACTTGTCACTGAATTGTCCCTCTAACTCCCATCTCCTAGCTTTTCCTTTGGAATCATATTGCTTATTACTATACCAGGAACATGCCCAATAAAGGGGCTTGGGGCATAGCTCAGTGGTAGAGTGAGCACTCAGCATGTGTAAGACCCTGGGTTCTCTCACCAGCTTATATATGCACACAAAATATGCACAACAGAAGCATCCTTAAAAAACCAAAACCAAAACCCTCCCTTTCTACTCCATTACTCCTCTTCTCTCTGTTGGGTTGCTGTTTGTCAGCTTCCTACCCCAAGAAGCCATCAACACACAGCAGCCAACAGCTGGACTCCCTCTTCTTATGCTGGCTACCTTGCAAGCCCAGACTGGCCAGCAGTAAAAGCTGACAAGTCCATATGCTCCATCACCTCTCATGCAGATAACTGCACACA